TTTTTTTTTTTTTTTTTAATTTTATAAGGGCTTAAAAATAATAATGTAATTTTGTACTTTATGAAGGTTTTTTCATACGATTTTTCGATTTTAAAAATGTGCGAAGGTTTTATGCATGTCTCCTAGTATTTACTTTCTAAATTATTTTATTTTTGTATTTGTATTGATAGGGATGTGAACTAATATTCTATATAATTATATGTTAAAATTTTTATTTTTAAATACATGTTTAATAGGGCTACTTTACTTTCGAAATAACATTTTCAGACGATATTCAAATTAACACTCCCAGTACTGACAAGAATCCTATAATTTCTTCAAGTTCCGCTAACCCTACTTTATCATCAATTAACAATGGATTGCCTGATATTAGAATCTCAGATGCTCAAGAACTCTCGAGTACGCATACTGAGACGATAAATTTACCTTTTACTCCTGTCACAACTACTAACGAATCTATTTTCACTACAAGCGATGATCCTGCTCAGTGGGTCATTAATGAAAAAACAATTAAATTAAAATTCAAACAAAATATTGATTTTAATTTTTCATTGTCTAAGTTATTAATATACGATGGATACCGGTACATGTCGAAAAATCTCTTTCATCGAACCCTTGCCAACGGTGAAAAACAACTTCGGTCATGGTTGATATACGCTACAAGTGTAAATGCAATGTTTTGTGGTCCATGCAAACTATTTGGAGAAGAACAGCCACTGACAACAGGATTTCGAGATTGGAGTAATGTTTACAATAGAATAAAAGAACATGAAGAATCTTCTACGCATAAATTGAACGTAATTATTCATATTCAAAGATCGAAGACAGCTCAAAATATTAATGTTAACTTGGAAAAGCAAGCAAATTGTGAAATGGGATATTGGAAAAAAGTGTGTATTGGCGTTTCGAGGAAGTGATGAACGCTTTGGTTCTCTTTACAATGATTACTTTATGAAGCTTTTAGAACTTTTAGCTGAATTTGACCCTTTTTTAGCTGAGCATATTAAGTTGTATGGGAATGCAGGTAGGGGTTGAGTGCCTTATCTGTCATCAACTATATGTGAAGAGTTTTTTGATCTGATAGCGAAGCAAGTTTTGCAAAAAAGTGCTTTCGATATTAAAAGAGCCAAATACTTTTTAATAAGCATCGATTCAACGGCTGACATATCCCATGTTAACCAATTGACTGTAATTATACGCTATGTAGATAAGACTGGGACTCCACAAGAAAGATTCATTATATTTATCCCTCATTGTGGACATAAGTTCAAAGATTTAGCAGAAGCGGTTTTTGTGTATTAAATGAACTTGATTTAGACATAAAAGATTGTAGAGGGCAATCATATGATAATGCCAGTAATATGAGTGGTCATTGCGCAGGCCTTCAGGCACTCATAAAGGAGAAAAATCCTCTGGCTGAGTACGTTCTATGTTCAGCGCATTCGCTTAATCTCGAGGGTAATTACGCTGCAGAATCCTGTCCAATGGCTGCAGATTTTTTCTCCAATGTTCAAAAAGTGTATACTTTTTTCCGATTCAACACGCAGGTGGGAAATTTTAATGTCAGCATTAAAATCAAAGTGCACTGTTAAAAATCTGTCTCAAACAAGATGGTCGGCCAGACATGATGCTTGCAAAAGTTTGAGCGAGTCATTGCCAGAAATTTTGGATGTCTTAAAACGTTTTTCTGACGATAAAGATGAGAAGCCACTTGTACGTTCAGAAACGTTAGGGATGTATACATTTTTTGATTCACTTGAAAGATCCTTTATGGCGGTATTTCGGAGTGATATATTCAATCGATTTGACTGCGGAAGTAAATCACTACAAAATCCGTCAGCTGACTTAGCAAAAGTCGTTGAAATATATGAATCTCTGATAAGTTTCGTTTCGGAAATGCGCAATTCAACGGTGTTTGAGTCATACGGAGGTGAAGCAATTGAAAAACGTGGATATGATTGTTACAAGCTTGATGCGAAAAGGAAACGTAAGCGGAAACAGCAGTATGATGAAAAAAATACTGATAATAATGATATGATATTTTCGGAAAAGAATAATATGAGAATCAATGTTTATTATGTTATTTTGGACTCTTTAGCATCTAATCTACAAAAAAGAAATCAAGTTTACGTAAAGTTAAATAGTAATTTCAGGTTTTTAATGCAATTGCATACTTCATCCAAAGCAGACATTGTAGATAACGCGAATAAGCTCATTGAATTATATCCTGATGATTTAGATTATAATTTAGTAATTGAATGTCAACACTTTGGAGCTCATTTAAAAACTGTCGATATTGAGCAATCGAACGCACTGGTTTTGTGCAAATTCATTTGTGAAAACGATTTTATTAGTATTTACCCGAACGTCTATACTGCGTTATGTATATTTTTATGTATGTTTATAGCTAACACTTCAGGAGAGAGATCTTTTTCAGCGTTGAAACGCGTAAAAAACTATTAACGGTCATCACAAGGAGATGAAAGGTAAAATTCATTAGCACTTATGTGTATTAAAGAAGAAATGACTAGAGGTATTGACTTTGAGTCATTAATAGATGACTTTGCTAAAAAAAAGCCAGAAAAGTACTCGTAAAAATGTAATTTTTTCAATGAAACTTGTAAAAAAGTTAAAATTAATCAATTCTAATAATTTAATTTCCATTGTGTATTGGCTTTACGAAGCTGAAAATAAAAGACAAAACTTATAGTTGGTTTTAGAATTAAAATGATATTACAATAATTTATCTAAGTAAAAAATTAATAGAGTTATTTCAGTCACTTTGAGTTTTTGTTATTGATATTCGTATTTAATTTCATTATTATTAAATAATAAAGCAATGTTATAATAAGATGCTTAGTTAAAGCTTTATTTTTTTTACGGGTTATTACCTTCACTGCCCTAAGTATAATGGAAAAAATTAAAACTCATTATGTTTTTCGTTCCATCATTAATTTTGCCCCTAAAATTATTTTAACAAAATTTTTTTATTCACGTCTTAAATCTGCCGCCCTTCAATATCTGCCGCCCTTACGGCATGGCGTTGCTGCCGTATGCGGTAATACAGCCCTGGATCTCAATAATTCTCATCTTGTCTTGGTATCGTCTGGAAGTCTCAGTGGTGTTAAGAAATATTTTTGGGTTTCTTCAGTGATTTGCGAGAAGCTTGGACTGCAGTCACATATATGTCTACGTTGGTAATGACGAAGCTCAAATGGTACAGTGGTACAGGTTAAAGCTTTTATCAATCGGATTCAAGGTTATCAAAGTATTTCCTTAAAGTTGTAAGGTGTTAAAACTATTTCCTCATATTCATGTGCTTACATCTTTAAAATATTATGCTTTAAGTCTTTGAAATCGAGAAACATAGCTATTACAAAATATTTTAAAATTCTCAAAGTTAAGCTATTTGTTGTAAGAATTTCGCGAGCTCGTTTGTGATGTTGAATAATGATTTTCTTATTAGTAACAGCTTAACTATTAAAAAAAAAAAAAAAAAGTTATAAACTAATAAAAAGTGTCAACTGAGCTTTAATTAGAGATATTTAGTAGTCGTAGTTACGAGAATACCAATAACTTGCAAAATTCTTTTTATTCTGTATGTAAGTTATGTATTTAAAATAGATTTTGATAACGATTTGTATAAAATTATGTATTAATCATGTATTTTATGTAAAAAAGTTAATTTTTATGCACAGTACAGCTTTTGCATACCGAGGAGTCAATAACCACAAGGTGTGAAATAAGAATGTAAATAATACAAGCTAAAATATGTACAATATATATATCTCGACGAATATTCATATATAATTGGTCGCATGTTTGACTTTTTCAGTAATAATTATTTTTATTGTATTGAAATGAAATGAAATTTTTTTGTATCTGCTTTTACATCTCGTAAGTTGGATGGTTATAATTTCTTTGAAGTTTTGAAATGTGCAATTTATGTTAATATCCTTAAAAATTATTTGTTTGGTGTTATCGAATTAAGGAATAGCGTTGCTACTACGAAATATTCACGTAACAAATTATTTAATAGAATCAGCATTGAAAATGTATTTATTTTGAGGTATCTGACAAAGAAGTGTTGACGATGTACATAAATTTAAATGAAGTTTATTATAAGAAATTGAAACAGAGTAAATAATCGCATCAAAAAAGAAAAAAAATTTTTGACGGCAATAAGGATCGAACCCAGGATTGCAAAACAATCCCAACAGTGGCATAAACCTCCACTATCTGAGCTATCAAAATAATGTATCGTAGTGTTTTGGAAGTCACAAATGTCATTGATTACCTCCAGAGCTTGGCCTACAGTTAATAGCAATTATGATAAGTAAAAGTAATAAATCTCTCTCCTTATCTCTGATCGTGAAGTACATAATTTCATATAATTTTATTTAATCCTTGTTACGGTAAAAAGAATTTAATATGTGTCCTGTATGGGGGTTGTGGTTACGGTGATGTAATTTAAGATAGTTTTCTTGTGACAATGCAAATTATTGAATAAAGTAGTTAGACGTGTAATCGAAATTATTATCAACATGAACACATAACAATTTGAGATTGTGAAATACACATAATAATCCAAGTAAGCCCCAATGTTTAAATATATCTAATTCGAGTCTAATTTAATATCTAATTTAATAAAAATATCTAATTTGATATCTAAGTTCGAATTAGATATCAAATACGGTATAAAATGATTGTTATGGTGAGAAACTCACTTTAATCTTTCACGTTACTACGAAAAATAAAAATAACTAAAATTAAAAAAAAAAGAGTTTTGAGATTTTTGCTTTTATGCATAGAGCTTTAATTGTTTTTAAATAATGCTTTAGTTTTTTTTTACATTAAAATCGACTTGAATAAGGTATCAGGATAACTAACAAAAAGAATGAACTATTTATTATAAAGTTATGAGAAAAGTTCACATAGGACGTCCTATTAGGTATTTTTCTTTTTGAGAGGCAAGAAACTTGTTTTTTTGTATCGAAAAAAAATTATAATAAAGTAATTTTTATAAGATACAAAAATACAAGCTGAAGCTTATTGGACAATGACAATTTAATTATTTAAGGTATTCAATAATGAGTAATTAAATAATAGGTATTTAATTTAAGATTAAAGAAAAAAAATTAAAGAATAAGCAGTAAGACCAACGAGACAAAAAAAGGTCATCTTCCATGCTGAGATTCGAACCCGAGAATGCAGAAACAAAATGATAAATATGCGTGCAAGCCATCTGTACTACAAAAGCTCTGTGTATACGGTCAAAAGTTAATCATGTTTGCAGTGAAGCGTCGAAGCTTGTCCTTGATTTTAAGGCTTGCTATAATTATTATGTTTATTTCGCAATCTCAATTTGGTATTTATTTGTATTTATAATAATTTTCTATTAACACGTTTCCAGATGTTATTTTACAGTTTGCGTTGTGCGATAATGTACTTACAATTATGCATCATCCAGATCGTATGACGTTAGTATAACATATACTGATAAATACACGGGTAACAAAAAGTTGCAAGATAACGTTGTCGAGAAGCGAGAAGAGCTGAGGAGAGATTATTAATTATTATAAGAATAAAATACGTAAATATTGTTTAAAAATAGTCATGTATTAATACATAAGTTAAAAGAGTGATGCGCTAATCAAATAATTAATGATTATTAAGATATTACTTGATAAATAATTTACCTGGAGCTCCGTTTTATCAAAGAGCCAGACTATGTATGTTCTATAATCGGTCTCTATTTTTTGTGCCATTTTTTTTAAGACAATGGGTACAATTTTTAATTATAAATTAAGTATTTTGTCATTTTCTATGTGGTTTTCAAAATTTCCTTCTGCAAAAATTAGGTTACCTTAAGCATAAAAAATCTATTAATTATGATTATACCGTAAGAGTTGATGTTTTGAGTACCATGAAATGTTTATGCATCCATTTTATAGATTTTTTAAATCTTTGCTTGATGATAAATACATATAAACTATTATAATTAATTTATAATTAATTATTTATTAGGTATTTGACTGCTATACGAAAATCTAACTTATTACACGCATTACGCAGAAATTATGGCCGTATGCAAAATACAATTATAGATTGTATTGTGTTGACGTTATGATGAAATGACAATTCACCTAACAATCATTTAAACTGTAGCATTTGCATTTGCCCTCATACTAGCAACTGATTTTAAAGAGCTTGATGTGTTACAATTATTTAGAGTATGCTGGAAAAAATTCGTAAATCTAGGTGTTTATGAAAAAATTTTTCTTCATTTTTTGTTTGTTAAACTTTAAACAAAAATTATGAACATATTTTACTTGTAAAGTCTGACTGATCGGTTTATGTCGTCACTGTCAAAAGTTTTTGAAGTCTTAAAAAATCTACTAATAAGTATGTTAAAATCATAGTCGAGATCTATACTTAGAAGTGTTTAATACATAACATAGATTTGCATTTTTGGTCAACAAATTTTAACTCAAACTTACGTGATTCCCGTTAAAATCGCACAAAACGTTATTTTAGTTAGTGTACTGTTAATTTATTTACTGATCATAGACGATCGATAAAATAAATGAACGATTTCTCATTTAACGTATTGAAACAACTTTTAAAAAAGGTAGATAGAGGAAGAATTAATGTTAAGAAATTTTGATAGAGGAGTAACGTAAAGGAACTTCGTATTATGATGCCATCATCAAAAATTGATACAAGAAGAAATGAAAGATTTACTACAGAGAGTGATTTCTGCTACTGTACTCTATATGAAAGCAGTTGGTAATGGTGGTGTATTCTTGAATATTGACAAGTTCTTTAATCTTTATGCTTATAAGTACTTGTGCATCTTCAAAATTTTAAGTTGAGTCAAATTAAAAGTGTCATAGTTTAAAACGTTTTAAAAACAGTGAACCAAAGAAAATCGATGTGATAGATGATTTAAGTGAAAACGTTAAAATTCATTAATGATGTTATACTTGAAGACAAGTTATTTTAAATTACGTTGTAACATATTTTTATACTCAGTTATTTGAAAAAATACTTTATTTTTAGGTGTATTTTTTGTTGTTTATTCTAAATTGTCTGTTGTTTTTAAGAAACGAGAATAAATTATGTTATTATGTTAATTTTTGCAGAACAAACGAAAGAATTAAAAACAACGTGAGAGAAAAGTCCAAGCTGTGGTTATGTGGGGTTGGTTAAAAAAGATTTAGGTCTTGTTTTGTATGTTCACAATATAGAAATTAGTTATCCACAAGTAGTTTTTGACAAGTCTGAAAAAGTATGTCTTCCAATGATGACTAATAAACAATAAATTCATAAATTAATTTTTCGGTCGGAAAAAAAGCTTTGTGGTGCTGTTACATATAAATACGCACTTTTACGTAGATAGATTTAAAAAAAAAATTTTTTTGTCTCATTTTCACTTCAGTACGCTAGTCATAAAAATAAACTTAAAAACGAAAACGCACTGAATTATTGCTGGGTTAGGTAGGGAGGAGAAGCTTGTAGTATCTTCACTGGTCATTTAGTTACTTGAAAAATTTTTTTATCATTATTATTTCTTCCCTAGTAAAGCCCTTTTGCTGGTAGGAGTCCTAAGGCAGCGTCGAGTCTACTTTTTCTTTAATCAGGGTCACCTTATCCAGAGTACTCCATTTTATTTCTGAACTTTATAAAACACAATCTTATTATGTTCTTTGAATAAATGATCTCTCGTTGTTTGCAAGCGTTTTTTTATATAAAAGAGCAGTATGGCCAACTAATTATAAAACTCGTGTCATTGAAAGCATAAGTAGTTAGTAGATAAACAATACAAGAAAGTTTTGAATAATGGTGCTAAAGTGGGGGACTAAGGGTCATTTATAAAATATAGCCCAATAAATAACTGTTGTTTTTTATTTTGACATACTAGACTTGACTTCAGGTGGCTTCGGTAATTATTATAAAAATGACGATAATCAATAAAATTTTAAAATTATGTTAATAAAGTGTATCTTATTCATTTCCAATAAAAAAAATTAACCACATCATTTTTTTAAAAATTGCTACTAGAAGCTCACCAATTTATCACTAAAACAATTATTACTGCAAAAGTAAATGATAAGCCTTCACGAATAAGAATTGAGTACGTAACTTTTTTTTATAAATATAGAAATGTGAGAATTATGTGTTAACGATTAGGATTTTCTCAGAAAATTAAGAGAAAGTTATTTATCGTATTTTGAGCATGCACAGACTAAAATGATATATTTTTCTCATTTTTATCCATATTTTACAAGTTCTTAGGGCAATCAGACTCTGAAATTTGAGTATGTAATTTAGATATACAGTTATGATGATAATAAACAAAGAATATTTTTCATAATCCATAAAACTTTAAAGGGTCTCTCGCTTGGTACGGCACCATACACCCAAGCCACCTTAATGCATGTATTATGAATTGTTAAATGTAAATCTGTGCGTACTCGTACATGTAAGAACAAATAGTCTGATCTGGGTTTATTTTTTTTCTGGGGGTTGTTGAGTCAATGAAAATTATGATTTATTGGACTTTAATAGATGAGATAAAATTATACGTGATTAAACGATTCTTATGTAATACTCAGATTAAGAGAGCCAAATACTTAACAAGTAACTAGTCTAGTTATAGAAACCAAAGTATTTTTTGCTTTTGTGTTGCAATTAACGAGCATTATTACATACTATTTGGTTATGGAAAAAATGGATTTTAAGTCGATGTTTTGAAAATTTTCAACGGAGTCTAGGCTACATTTAAATGATCTGCTATTATACTTTAATTGCTGTCGGGGAAATATTTTTTAAGAATACTTTCAAATACAGTTTAGATTTTCAAATTATTCTTTCAAAACAATATTAAAAAATTTTCTTCGTATTGTAATGCAGTAAGACTTATTGGTATGTTTTTTTTATTATTAATTTTCCTCCTTCATTACCTATTATTAAACTTTAAGGCTTACAAATCAAAGAAAGTCAGAATTGTGAATAATGCTACAGATCTTGCTAAAGGTTAAATTTAAATAAAATGTTCCATTTTTGGTTTGAGAGAATATTGAACCACTAGTTAGCTGGTATGCAATATTCTTAAAAAACAAAACGTCACTTGTAAAGAGTCTTACATTCTTTCCATGTAGTGATTATTTAGTATAAGATACTGCGAAAAATATCATCTTTTAATAAAGATTTTTCTATCAGTGAGTGAAGTTGAATTAGGAAAATGAGTTTGGCCATTCTGAATAATGGTAGATTTTTTTCNGAAAGGATGAAGACCTTACGGAACAGTGTATTGAAGCACACAACATTTATATACTTTCAAATGAAAAAAAGTTTGGTACGGATAAGTAAGTATGCTGAATAACTGCTGTGGTACCCATGTATGTATGTATATATGACGCTAACGCTGCTGGGGGTTATTGCGCAACCTCCGAGCATATTATTATACATACATTAAATGTATTTTAGTCTGAGTTCCGAAAAATTGAATGATAATGAGGGCACTATTGAAAAAACCCTGTAGCTTGGGAAAGAAATATATTTTCATTTATCATTGACCAAGTACTTGGTAATATGTATTAAGAAACTTTTGGAGTAATTGAATACCAATACCTGACAAATATTCAATACGCATGTGCAAGTATACGGACCGTACCACCAACGTAGTATATTCTAAAGCTAAAATCGATAATATTACTGACCTGTAGTGGGATACTTTATATTTTGCCGTATTACTCTACACAATTAAAAATTCTTACTTGTTTAATTGGCAATACTCTTCAAAACTTAGTACTTGCTATTTATCATGTACTTGCTCATGAGATTATATTTAATTTCAATTTTTACTTTATTTGCTATAGGATGTCCCAGTTTATGTTTATGTAAATGGAAAAGTGGTAAGAAATGGGTGCAATGCAGAGATCATAATTTTCAAGATCTTCCTGAAGGTGTACAAGAAGAAACACAAGTGCTTGATCTTTCTGATAACCAATTTCTGAACCTTCCAAATAATAGATTTTATGAACTACGACTTATGAATTTACAAAGACTTTATTTAAAAAATTCAAAAATACAAAGACTGTCTGCCAAAACATTTACAGGACTGCAAGGTCTAGTTGAGCTTGATTTATCTGAAAACCAACTTGAGAAAATACCACCTAAAGTTTTTTCTCCTCTAGATAATTTAATGCGACTGAATTTGGCAGGTAATTTATTAAAAATATTACCTAAAAACGTTTTTTCTAATCTTGGTCAGTTGATTTTTTTGGATATCAGTCGATGTCATATATCACAAATTGAGACAAGAACTTTTACTGGCCTAAGAGCTCTTGAATGGCTACGTTTAAATGACAACATGCTTGAGAACATACCAGAATCTGTGCTTCCATTGACAGCTAGTTTACATGGATTATCGTTACATGGCAATCCTTGGAAGTGTAACTGCCATTTATTAACACTGCATAGATGGTTAGATACTTCCCAAGATCAAGTACCACAAGAAGTAGATCCACGTTGTAACGAACCAGCTAGATTAAGAAATATGCCTGTAAGAACATTGAAAAATCATGAATTAGCTTGCATTCCTTTTGTCCAACTAACGGGAGGCTTGGATATTGTTAAAGAAGGAAATGTCACTCTACAATGTAAAGTAGTAGCTGTTCCGCCAGGACAGCCTCAGTGGTTTTTAAATGGAAAACGTCTTGAGTTTGATTATAGATCTTCATCGATTAAAAATGTCAAGTAGGTGGAAGTACATGTTTAACTTGTGTTAAAAAAATATCAATTATCGAAAGAACTATAATAAAATTTTCATAAATCAATTCAGGTGCTTCGACATATAAAAAATTCTTTTTAAACAATTGACGTAACCTATAAAACATAAGTACTTGGAAAATTTAAACTAATTGAACAATTAAAAGATTGATATTTAAATGTAGTTTTTAAGTTCCTATTCAAGAACTGCTCTATAATTTTTAATTACAAAAAATTTATTTAATATCTAAATACTTCATCTTACTAAACAAGTTTTTCAGAAACAATTTTATTAGAATTTAGATGTTTGTTCTGCAATTACTTTACGTATTAACATTATTATCTTTCAATTTGTAAAGTTTATTTTTTTGAAAACATTGTTGACCTAACTACTAAATTTTGTCTTCTGTCATAAATGTAATTTAAAAACCTTGCGTCACTGTTTCATCATGTTGAAATAATGGCTTTATTTGTGTATAATTACTAGAAATAGAGTAAAGTAAAACAGGATTAATTGCCATTAATTTAGCAGTTAAACATAATAAGTAGTTTAGCCTTAAAACCTAATTTTTTTAAGGTTTATGCGAAAAAAAAAAAAAAGATGTGCTTTAGATTTTAATACAAGACCAAAACAACAGACAGAATGTATTGAATCCAAACTTGATAAGATTCTCTCACTCCCTGAGAGAGCTTGCTGATAACCAATTTATAAATGCACATGTACATGACTGTTATGTTCCTCAAACTTCTGTACTCACATATTTTTTTCGGAGTATGATATATGTCAAGTCAACAATCCAACGGAAAAATGGATACACAATTATCTGTATAAGTTGACATTCCCGGTTGCAAGAAATGGATAAAAACCGATAAAAAAATTCCTATCTTGATGAGTATGTGTATTTGCACCCGTGAATTACTATACAGACTTATAAAATAGTTCAATCTATATGTTGGTATAGTAATAGACTTATATGCTATTTACTAATTCTATCACAAGTTATCGGAAAAATATGATACAGTAAAATATCGCAAAAAATATGTTAAGAAATTTTCATAGAAATCTATAGATTTCATGAATATATAGGTTTCAATAGAATTACAACGATAGGTTGTACTAAACGATCTTAGTTTATCGTATTTCATGGAAAATGAATATACAACTAATTTAGAGACATATTTTATAGTAATGTATATTACTGTCATCATACACGTTTTACATTTTTTTTTTTAAAGTAACTTCCGAGTTTAGTATTAACTACTTTATATTTTAATATTCGTTTATTGTGATCAGCATACACTTACATATTATTACTTGTTATGGAGAAAACCTAAGATGTGAAAAAAAAATTTTAGAAGGATTTCCTGACGTATTTATTACCAGTTACTACAATTACTTTGTTCAACCCTTTATTGAACTTACTTCATCGGTCTATCTCATAATTGATGTTTCTCTTTCTTTCAATAGCTTAGTACGTTACGCTACGAAGACCAGATAGTGGGCTATTACTGACAGCGTATTATATATTGCGCGGTCAATGATAGCCTAGATACTTTCGGTTTGTGGTGCATATACACTTTTTCTGTACATTTTCACCGAAAGTTAGACACCTACATCAATAAAAATAACATTACTATGGTGCCGTTAATCATAATATACCATTACTCGACTACGTACTACATATGCGGCAGCCGCGGTCGTGTGATAGTCGTTCACTTAAACATAAGTGTATCAATGTAAAAGATTTTCACGTGATCTTGTACGATATTATGTAGAAATCGATAAAAAAACTATGAGTGTGACTCAAAATATCGCTAGTTGTTAAAATATAAACCAACCAATGAAAGGATGAAGACCTTACGAAACAGTGTATTGAAGCACACAATATTTATATACTTTCAAATGAAAAAAAGTTTGGTACGGATAAGTAAGTATGCTGAATAACTGCTGTGGTACCCATGTATGTATGTATTTATGTATGTATGTATATAAATATTATCGTGCTACACGCGCGACTCCTATTTAGTAGCACTGGTCTGTATACTGAGCACGTGGAAAAGGGTGGAAGAGATGAGGAATTGAGAGGCCTTACCTTGTTGGATGGGAGTACGGGGGGGACTAATCACCTAAACCTAGATAAACCATTCCATATTCACCCAGGAACAATATCTCGTGGGTCAGGGAAATCTAGAAACATTCACCACGAAATATCTGCTTATTGAGATGAAATATTTGACATCATGATACGAACAACGAACACACTTACTAAGGTAAGGGTCGCGGGAGGAGATTGCTGGGTATAAATACTCTTATACAGTTATAGGATAGTTCGTTTTTCCGTCTTTTGATGTCAAATCACTATCGCGATCAGACCCCTGCAATTGACTCGTTGTTTTCAGTCTCACCGTGTCCCAATTGTCTCTGTATTTAACGACGCGGACGGCAGGACCAAGCTCTAGCAGGGTGTCTATTGAGGTATGGAAAAGCGAAAGCGACGCTTTTTTCTCTCGCGCTTTCGATTCGAGTGAAAAATTTGACAGCATCGTTTTGTCCGTCTTAACCTCTTAGATCCTCCAAGATCGCAAATAAGCCTTTAATTCGAACGCTATTTTCGTTTCTCCCTTTGAATATTGATTTTGTTAAATCGCAGTTAAGATTGAGATGAAACACTAGTTAATATTGTAAAAATCATCTGGAGCAAGGCACTATTTGTTTTTTGTTTTTTTTTAATTTTAAATTCAGTCATTATCTTTAAGTACAATAAGTATTCCAAGTACATCAATAGTTATAACAGTATGTAAAAGTTAATAAAATTTTCAGTAATTAATATCTGTCTGAAAAAAGAACTAAACACCAAGTTTGACGATTTCAAAAATATCATAAAAATCATTGTAAAAAAATTTGCCGGTTACAAATGTAAAAAATAAAAGTTACAATATAGAAGCTCATTAAAATAA